GGGAGTGACTGCAGCCGTTAGCTCCCTCCCACATCCTCCAATCACCGCTGCTCGCACTGCACTCAGGAGCATGCATTATTTATCTAATGCCACTATATGCAATTACAATCTATGTTTATAGCCACTGCTGTGTTGCTGCAGGTGATTAAACATATTTAGTTTTTCATTTTCAGAAAATGAGCTGCATAAAACCAAGATTACTGCAATAAAAGCTATTGCCCAATGCAAACATCATGACAAGAGTTGGGAAATAACTACACTGTAAGAACATTTACTCAAGTACTATACTTCAGAACAATTTGTACTTACCTTTTTTTATTAATTATGTGAAATATAATCAACACTTAAATAAGACATTAGTTACACCAGGAGTAAATTCACAAGCCCTGCAGTATACAAAGTCATTACAACTAGCTGCACCTTTACCAGCTTTGATAACACTTTAATGCATCAATCATTGTTATCAAAACATAGCATATATATTATTCTGAAATGGACTAATCTGCATAATGAGTATTATTTACTTTTGGTGCTTTAAGTATATTTGAATGCCAATACTTTTGTACTTTTACTTGAGTAACCTAGTGATTGTAAGACTTTTACTTTTAACAAAGTACAAGACCTAGTACTTCTCCCATCACTGATAATGACAAATCAGTGATAGAAAAGTAACTCAGTATTAGCCTAGCCTCATTTAATGCTACTTAACTCTCTATCCACTCTTTTGAAAGCATTAAATACTGGTTACATTTGATATTAATTTCAGTCAAACATTAATGCATCAATAACTAAAATCCATAACATTAGTTTACATGATATCGAAATGGGTCAATCTGTGCATTGAGTACTTTTACTTAGTTACTTAAAGCTTGTTTAGATGCTTTTACTTTGTATCTAAACTGTCTATAAGCAGCTGGAAACAGTATCCTTAATTGCTGTTTCATTAGAGGCGGAGCCAGGTGCATTAGATTTACAATAAATGACATGCAAATTAATTCATGTTTAAATTGAAGAGGATTTGACTAAGATGACATCTATGCCATAAGGACCAACAATATGCATATTAGCTATATGGTTGAAGAGCTAGACCTGATTCATTATGTGTATGTTATTTTAGCCATTTCTTCCTATAGCGTAAAGGGCTTTCTTCTCATGGTCAGAATGTGCAATCAACTGAATAGTCCTTTTAATAATTCGTGGATTGAAGACTTTCCATCAGTTATTGCCAATATGGAGGCATCTACAGACTTTTGGTTCTCTTTAATAGCTTATATAAAAGTGTTCCACTTCAGTCAAATGAATAGTTATGCATGGATACTCACAGTGTTACCTTGATGCTTATTGGACTGCAAACAGTTCTACAAGGATTTTGATGGGATCAAATTGGACTTGGATGATCGTGATGATATTGTTAACTTTTTATGGAAACCAAACGATGAATCAATTAATCCTGAGTGTAACTGAAAGATTCATCTATGCTGAAAGTCATTGTTAGTTGCAGACTTACCGACCTCTGCACCTACTAAAGGAGTTGTTGCTTAAGGATCTCTCACCCTTAAATCAAGCTATTTACACAGTATAGCATTTACATTTGGGTGTAGTCTGCATGTCACATTCTCTCTAAATCTGAGTCTTAACCTTAACTGGGAGGCTAACAGCTGAGCTAAAGTCTCCCAGCTCACATTCTGAGAGCTAAACATCTATTCAGGTCCAACATGTCTGTCTATACAGTATGCTGCACAGCAGAAAGCAGACTTAGCATTATTTCCAGACATGTGTCTTTGCATGCACCATTCCCACTCTCCAATCTTTTATTCTTAACAAATTCAGTGTGATGCTGTGCAGGAATAGTGCAAAACAATAACTTTTGTGATGCATGCTTTGCACGACACTGGACGAGTGTGAATGGACTATTTTGAGACTGTTGAGACTGAGAAGGGAACAACTGGAGCCAGGACCTCTGTGCCCTCTTTGTTGTGCTCCGCGGTCAATCAAATCCAATTTGAATGCAGTGAGAACACAAGGGAAGTCTCATGACTCTGTGCGGGAGCCAAACAGCTCTGCAGTTATTGTCAATAATACCAGCCTTGATGTTATCCATCAATCAGTTCCTGGGATCATTGTTAACCCCTCACTGACCTTCAGTTCGACAATCAGAATGAAAGCACAAAAGAGTGCAAAGGAAACACCAATACAATATATAATTTAAAACAAATAATACATTATTGAATCTGTCCAATAAATGCAGTTTGAGCTACAGTGTTAGCTTCCCAATGTGGATCTTTAAATTCTCACTTGTTCAACTGATTGGTAGCCATTTGAAAGATTTTTCAATATACAACCCACCAATTACAGTATAATGATTTACTGCATATGAGGGATCAATAACGAACCTATTCTGGGTACCTAACTGGAAAAATATGTATTCAGAAGGCAAGAAAAGGAGAAGTTAGGGAATAAAGGGGTTACATAAAAATATGTTGAAAAGATTAATCTTTTTTATGAATGAAAATGTAGTTACTTTGTACTTACAGGCTACAGTGTTGTTGTTGCTGGGGGACAAGGCACTTTTACTGTGCAAAACAATATTATATCATATCATTTATCTTAAAACCATGATTCACTGACATACTTATGTCAAAGGACATTGTAGAAAAGAGACTGCTGTTTATGCCTTTACTGTAATTATTTTGTATTCAAAGTGATATTATTATACAAGTCTAGAGAACAGTTGAAGAACCTAGACCAGTTGACTGAGACGTGTGGCAAGCTATTCCTCCTGCATACAGAAATTAACAATTGTTTGGATTGCCATGAAAATTGGTACAGATGGCCATGGGGCCTAGAGGATCAATCATACAGACTTTGGTTATCCTCACACTTTTCCTCTAGCTCTACCATGACACTGACATTAGTTTTATATCAGATGGATTGCCATATCAGGATGGATTACCTTCACTTGGTGACTTTTCCTCAATGGTCAAACTTTGAATTTGTCCAATACTTTGGTTTGTTGTTTAATGTCCCATTACTTTTTCACCTGTTCTTATTGCCTTTATCTGACCACTTAAGTATATTTGACAGAATATTTGAATTGTAATTTGCGGGTTTTAATCTAAAGTGTGACTGAATATCTTTTTTTGTATGTAGGGGACGTATACTAAGCCCATTCCCATGCTGAATACCTGGTATCATAATGTTAAATAAGGAATGTAGTTATTATCTTCTAAAGCTTTCCTTCTGTAATTACTCTTAAAAGTTAATTAAGAAGAAGCAAGATAAGATGCACCTTCTGCTATATGAGAGTGAATCTGAAACCAAATGTTAATTACATAACAATTTAGGACCAAGAAGGCCTCCTTGAAATCTATGGTGCAATTCCAACACATTTTTGGTTAGGTGTGATGAGCTGTTGGATTTCCCCCCTCAAGGTTCAACACATTCCTGGCTGCACTGGTCAGTATGATTTTAATCTGTTTTCACAGTCAGGCAGCAGAAAGACACAATCTTGTTTGGAATTCCAGTCCCACTTTAAACCTTCAATGTCTCCCTGTGGACATACCAGAGAGGAATCAAGGGTGGCAGACATTTTTTCACCATCTCACCATCAAAAAACATCAGAGCCTCACGACAGCTATCATATCTTTTTACACTGTCATATCTCTCAGGGGCATCACAGTTGTGGCACACATAGCTTTGTTACAGCTGAAAAAACAAAACGTAAAGGGGTGGAGGCGACGTCAGAGGCGGTGAATCCCATTGTTGATTCAGCAGAGGCAAATCAGAGTGTGTTTGTCACTCTGTGAGGCAGACTTCACAGGCCCGAGTCAAAAGGCAGGATTAAGTGTGAAAGACACACCAAAACCACTTTGAAAAAATATGAAGAGATGAGTTGTGACACTCATAATGACAAGATGGAATAACAGGAGGGGTTGTTCACCACAGACGGGGTATGAGAAGTGCTAAAGTGGTGAGCTGTCGAGCTGAGAAACTCGTAGGCCTCGGGTTTAAGAAGAAGTGGCAACATCTAATTAAGTGAGCTATCCCATCATCTTTAAATGCAGAGTTCTGATTGTAGAGTAAACTAACAGAACAAGCGAATGACAAATTTGTAGCCTCAGCAATGTAAGAAGTGCTTTCCCAGAAACATAAAATAACCATGTGGTATTCTGGTAGTCACCCATTATCAAAATCCCTGTTTAAATTCCATTTAACAGCTGCTTTGGTACCACTTTTTTTAGACATATGCACTTGAGTGTATACAGCCTACATTAGAAACCTCTTATTCTTAAAAAGCAAGAATAGGATTTTAAATGTTAAGCATGTGAGTGGCATCACACATTTGCCTTGGGTGAACCATATGGAGTGAACTGTCACCAAGTAAATAATTAATTGAAATACGACCTAAAATCTCAAGAGCCACTCATTAATTAAGCATTTAAGTTCATTCTGGGCCTTGGAAGCATTTTTTTTGACGGAAAAATCCCAACTCGAGGGTCACTTAATGGCTTTATTTAGAACTGTATCATCAAGTGTTATGGATTAAATCATTACAGCAATTGAGCTCACATGTCAACAGAGCAAACTCCATACATTGATGAAGACCATGTGACAGAGAGTTGAAAGCTCTGGAGAAAGCTAAGAGTAGACTTGAGTCAAAATTGATTTGTCAAACCACTCAAAAATGCTCTTTGAGATCAAAGAAAAATAGATACACTCTCCTTTCTGCCAGTTATATATAGAGTTAACTAAGCTTAGCTAAGAATAAAAGTTCAATACAAGGGGAAACAGCTAGCTTAGCTCTTTCTAGAAAGATTTGCCTATTATCACTTCTAAGCACATTAATAAACAGATTATATATGTTTTGTTTGATCTGTAAAAACTCTACGGTGTAAAAATGATTATGGTTTTATAAAAGTTACGTGTCTAGACTAGCTGTTTCTTCCTTAAGCTAAGCTAACTGTCAAAGCTAACCCTCCGTAGATTCACGTTTATAGATAACAGTGGTATCTAAACATTTAACACTTGGCAACAAAGTAAATAAAAATACAACTCCCATTACTCCTTTACTGATAGACCTATGTCAAGCTTATGATTTCATATCAAACTATGCCATCAGCTGAGCACAAACGACAACGTGAATATTAACAACAAAGTGCTGACTTTTAGAGTGATAGGTCAAACAATTGTTCCAAAAAAACACATTTATAAAGGAAACAAGAGTCGGTGACATTTGACTCTAAACAGCCCTATGTTTTCCACGGTCACCAGCATTGTTGTTTGCTTGCTTCGCTGCCAATCAATATACATGGAAGGTCAAGGGTCACAGCCCACATTAGGACGGGCCGCCCCCTCTCTGCAGGGAGTATTTCCTGTGGTTGTCTGCATGCGGCTGCCAGTGGGAGGTCAATCACCAAGAGGCCAAAGGTTAAAGAGGGTGGATGTATCAAGGAAATTAGTTTCAACTGTTTAACTTCCAAATATGCAAATCCTTCAATTGGAAGTCTGAGATTTCCTTACCCTTTAGTATTTTTTTTGTAATATATGATGTAGTAAGAAAATATAAGATGTATCACCATAACTGTATCTAAATCACCTCCGTGAGAACTGCACATTCATGAATGACTGGCATGTGGGAGTTTTTGTTGAAGCCATAACATAATGGATATGTGAAGTGCATGTGAAGAAATTCCTCACATTTTCAACCTCCAAACAGAAATACACTGCTAACCCAATTGTTAACGTTAAGGCAACTGGAAGGGGAACGAGTAAACTAAAAAAAGCACTTGTAATTAACTACATTTCAGCACAAAGAATATGAATATTCAGTCTTTTTACAAACCATTTCACTACATTTTGAAGCCTCTTTATTATGTAGTATTTGTTTTCCGGAACAAATCATATAACTTGGATTCATAGCTACAGTACAACCAGTACACAGTTTCAAAGTGTGCACCAATAGTACAATAATAATAAGTAAAGCACAGTTTATTTAAGGAAATATATTTGAAAGTAAAAATTTGACCTTTTTGGACATTGGGTGGCCATGCAACAAGATGTAAATATAACATGACACAATCTGCTTTCTCCTGTACGATCCTTCAAAACCTCCCAAAAGACACCATAGATTGGTTGGTGAAATATGTCTCTCAGGTATGAAAACAGTCCTTCTGTTTGACACATACAAGGAGCCTGCGGCTTCTCAACAGTAGATAAATGAAGTGCAAACAGCAGGGAGATAAGGTCTTTCCAAATCAGCAACATGTGTAGCAAACAGTGTTTACGCAATCGCTTTAACTAAACCTCTGTAAGCATTTCAGAGCTGGGACACAACGATCAATAGTAATGGCAGTACCAGTCAGTCAATTAATGGCTTTTTCCATTGGTTGGCGAAAAATAAAAAGTCTTTGGCAAATATTAAAAGGCACTTGGAGAACAAAGACCTCCGCCAAGGCCAAATGCCCTATCGCACCATGTAAACGAAAGGGAAAAACAACGCTGCAAAATGATATGGGATCTTTCTTTGACCATGCAACAGGCTAGAAGTTTTCCCAATAAACAACTGACAAAGGAACAAAAGCGGAAATAATAATAATGGGATAAAAACAGCTGTCTTTAAGTTGATATACATTCAATCTCACTATCATAATGTCTTTCAAAATGTTACTCTTTTTCTCAGCAGAAGAGATTCCTGCTGCTGAAATTCACATTTAACAAAGTGCTACAGCATTCATAACTGTCATTTCCACCCTATGCCCAGGGTCCCCAGGCTCCAGTGGGACCCGGGTCACATCGGGGGTCCTCATCGGGGAAGTTTATCGGTAAAGCATTTTTCTGGTATTGGTTGAGCCTAGTGAGAAGATACTCTACTACTGTGGGGAAGTGAGCGGATAATTCATTCCTCTCCTCCGGATCTTTTTCTATGTCAAACAGCATTACGGGCTTCAGTGGATCCGTCTGGGGGGGGTTTGAATCGGAGCTGTTGTGCCCGGGTCGCGGAAACCAAACGTCACAACCTGGAGGAAATAAGATGAAGGAATCAGATTGGCAACCATGGTGGGAAGTAGCTCAATACATTAACACAAGTACTGTATTAAAGTACCATTTTAACTTACTTCACCACATTTGAGAGAATAATAATACAATTTTGACTGCACTGCCTTTGTTTGAGAGCTGTTGTTACTTTTTGTTAGATACATTTATTATAAAAAAACAAATAAAATATAAACCTGTTCAATAAAATGCTGGATTAAATCACTGGCTCCCAATATGTTTGATGTATGGCCTGACCTGCTCTAGTTGAAGCTTCTTGTCTAAGCTAGACATTTGAAAACCTCATTTAAAGAACTATTTAAGGCCTAAAGAGGTAAATGTATATTATTATAACCATATACTATATATATTCATTCAATATTTTACAAAGTAATGCTATACAGAATGATTGTCAAAACTGTTATTTTATTTACTCTTCAATCAATCCATTCGCCACCCATTAGATTCATTTTGTGACCTTCTGAAGGGGCTTGACCCCCATTTTGGGAACCACTGGATTACATTTACTGTATAAAAACTAGTTTAAACTAGCTCTACCAACACCAGCTTCACAGGGGTGTTTTTTATACTTCTATATAAAAATACTTTGACTTTACTAAGGGATCCAGAAATGTCTTCCACCGCTGTTCACACAGATAAGAACTGTGTGTTTGACTTTCCGCTTCGCACTTAGACTAAACATGTCATTACGGTTGTCAGGAGATACGGACCTGGGTAGCCCGTCAGCAGCTTCCAGTTGGAGGATCGGATGGCGGCGTGAATGGACACATTGAAGCCAGAATTGGCCCAGGAGCCTCCGCTGACCACCTGAGCCAAGGATGACTGGCGCTGAGTGCCAGGACCTGCAGAGAGGAGAGGACGGAGCTGATCACGGAGGTCATCCATCTCTAAAAATATGCCTAAAACTAGCTCCCGCTGATTAAAACGATATTAGACTACCACTGGATACAAAACGCCCTCTGTGGAAGTCCATGTAAACCATACGGGAAGGTAGACTGGCACCGAAAGTCAGTGCATACCTGAGAATCGAGTGAAGGTGTCAAAATAAATACACCAATAAGAAAGAGCTCTTTTCTTGCTGTAAAACCAACATTGAAGCTGAAGGAATGAGCACTTCATAACAATACTTCCCTTTAAGAACAGAAACTATTGTACGTATTCATTTCCTTAAAGTTTTAGGAGGAATTTGACTATTATGGTGGTACTGTGGTCAACTCAGCACCAGTCTTTTCATATTTGCCAAGCACAATGAATAATTTGCCATTACTGCTGTCGGGCAGATTTTTAATACAGTTCAAACGAGAACAAACTGGCCAGTATCACAAGTCAAGGCAAAAGTAAATAATTGGCCTTTGTTCTGAGGGTGTCCAGACATTTCTGCAGCCTCCTGCCACAATCCATTTCTCCTCTTATGGAATATGTCTACCAGAAGTGAAGTGGTCTTGAGAGTATTATCAGGTTCATGCTGTGTTTGACCCCGACAATATGGTCCTGATTAGACAGATTTGCAAGTAATTTCTGCGTCCTAACGCTGTCGAAAACAAGTATTTCATCACATTCTTTGCTTATAGACACAAACCCCACCCACACCAAGCCAATGTTCTCATCGGAGCTTGTTTTTATGGAGTGGATTCAACCACAGCGACATGACTGGAGAATTAAAACATTTCCGATCTCAGCGTTTTTGCGACCACATGATAAAAACTCTGACATTGAAATCTTCACTGATCATTGCGGAAAATTACATGCGGCTCTCTTAATTGTTCTCACATGCATTAAACTGGGTTTCTCAACACAGAGCAGTCCCGAACCACACCAGATCTGTGTAAACAACTTGCAGAGCTCATGTCCTTTACACGAGAAGGGAAAACTGCAGTCCTGACATCAAGCGAGATTCAGGTGTTATGCAAGCAGGTGGGAGATTGAATTTCAAGCTTTTGCTTCTTTAAGGAAAGGAACCTCAAACCCCAACTCACATACTGTCCATTTCTTACATTCATTCCTGCATGAGTGCCTCAACGCCAGGCCCTGCTCATCTGGATCCAAAGCAGGAGAATCCACAAATGGGCTCAAAGAAAAGGAAAGGCGGGGGGAAAGTGGGAAGAGACCCTGAGAGAGCAGAAGGGATATTTGGGGGTGATTTAAGGCTTGGGCCAAGTCCAGGGTTCCTCCGCGAGAAGTTCAGGGACCCCTCTGTGACCCATTTAGTCGGGATCCCTCTTCTCACACAGAGTGAGAGCGAAGAAGGGGGATTTTGAAAAGCAACTTGAAAGGAGAAACTATGTAAAAAGGGGACAAAGCTCTTTCATGAGCTAAATGGAGAAAACGCCAAAAAAGGAAAGCATAGAAAGAGAAAAGGGGAAGAAAGTGGAGCCGTCTGAAAGGAAAAGAGGAATCTCAGGCTGGAATGCATCAGGAGGAGCCGGCTGTCACTGTGGTCGTTGACAATAAAGTCTCAAACATAAAACATGGACGCTTGTAAAGCAGCAGTGTCGTTCTTCACTCTCTTATCATTCAAATGATTTAGACGGTGATGCCCGACAGTAAACCTTCAGGGTGATTTGAGCTCTGCTCGCTTATGGCTGTGTAAACAGAAGTGTCTAAAAATATGACAAATCAATGACGGGACTATAAATAAAGTATTCAGTCAAAACAGGCTATTTTGGTGTATTCCCAGGAGCTCTTTTTTTAGATGTGAGATGAGATGTTAAAGGTGTTAACTTTAGTCACTCAAACGACAGGGAATTAACTCAGCTTTAAGGAGATTTGTCTCACCTTTTAACTCAACTTTTTTGTTTGTTCTACACACACCTTTTAATGTTTTTGTCGCACTGCTCCCATCAACCTCTCCATTTGCAGAAGACAGCTGTTTTCAGTTAAAAACATCTCGGAAAAACATCACTGCACTCTTTCAACGGAAGACAGAAACAGTCAGCAACTAGCTGACAAGTACATTAAACAGCATTTTAAGCTGAATATATTTTTGAGTTGGTGACACTATATCACAGCAAAAAGGGAGGGGAAATATCAGACCTATGTCCAACTTAATGTGTAACTAGGCAACCATTGGATTTATAAAGACGATAATATGTCATGGTTGTATTCACAGCTTGTTCCACATGCTCAAGTGACCAAAATGAATCAATTAATGCTGTTTTGAACTATAAAAACTGGGTTAGGGTTACAACATTTGTTGTTGCAAATGTTTTGGTAATCATACCTTTTGTACCTTGATTTTGATTTAAAAAAAGGATGTTGCTACTGTTAAAAATCATGACCCCCCCCCCCCCACTAGTGAACGATACCAGGTGTGTGTGAAACTGAAACCAGATCTCTGTAAAGTTTTCAAGGTGACTATAAATTTAGTAGCAGAATATATTGTACATCACATGTTAAAGAAGCGCTCTCCACTTTTACACACTGACTCAGGAGGAAGTGTAATCTGTAATAACTTAAAGGTTCAAATGATAGACACCAGTGAATAAACTAGATACGACCCTTTAGAAAGCGGCTCCTGCACCAAAATAAAGTGCAGCGCTCCATACGGTATTTATCAGTGATAATTCCTCTACCACCCCTTGCTGAAGAGAAGAGAAGTACTGTACGTCCAGGAGATGAATGAAGCGGTATGCATCTACTCTCATGACGACCCATTATGTGCCCATTATGGCACATCTGTGAAACATTTCAGCACAAAAATGCACTCCTCCTTTTACCTCTTCTATTTTCGAATGTGTAACTAAAGGTGCAGCATTCTCCACAGAGACAGAAATAGTGGCCTCAGACCAGGACCACCTAATATTAAGTGGTTAAGACAAGAATGAGGCCACTCCACTGTGTCTGACAGCCGAACAAAAAAAGGGAGTCACATGACCAATTTCCTGGAAACCTCCCCACAATCACAAAGCTTAAACTGTAAGCACACACACCCTGAACCTCAAACATCGACTATCTCAGGTTTCAACAATGTCGACTGATTACAGTTTCAACAGAGACTGATTACAATTTCAACCTTGTGTAATCAGCCTTCCTTACAACAGCATAACAAATAGCATTTTATGAGGTACAGTAATCACAAAGAAATAACCAAAAAGTGAAGACAATCAAGCCAATTCACAAAAATGATTCAGATTACATTTGTAAACACAGAAAGTTTCTTATGATTATTCCATGTAAAATGTACTTTCACAGGCTAGATATGACGTGTACTTCATAAAGCAACCAAAATGACATCCAGTGATAATAATCTGCATGTGAGAATCACCTCTCCTCTCCTCATAAACTCTTAATCCAATCAAACACATTTCAAACACCCATAATAAACTCAGCGTTGACTTTCAATGTGAGTTTAGTTGGACGTTATGCAACTCCATGCTATTCTCAGGCCCCTGTCTGCCTTGACTTGAGTTCATTGGATTCACGATGTCTGGCGTATTTGTGAATACTGGCTCAAACAATGAGCCTCTTGATACTTGTTGGGAAGAGAGAGAAAACAGTAGAATTACAACATTAGAAACCAAGCATCATACGTCATAGATTTTATAAACACAGATAGGCAGCACAAGGTTTTCATCATCTTAACAGGCTGTATCAAATGTGTGTCACTGGCTGATTAATGAGGATTAAAAAGAGATTCTCCATGAGTTTGTACTGGTGTCCTGCCACAGTCCAAACACATGAGGTTTTCTAACAATTAGCTAAATTGTCTGCAGGAGTATGGTTGTCTGTCTATATTTGTCAGCCTTGAGACAGACTAATGACTGGTGTATCCTGCATCTCTCTCCCAGTGTGAGCTGGGAAGGGCTTTTCTGATGACAGATTGAAGGATGAGAGGTCACTGGATATTTTAAAGGGGTCCTGTTACGCTCATTTTCAGGTTCATATTTATATTTAGTGTCTCTACTGTGACATGTCTCCATGCTGTAATGTTCAAAAGGTCTTTATTTCTCTTATACTGCCTGTGCTGCAGCAACTCTTTTCACCCTCTGTCTGAAACCAGAGCCCAGTCTGCTCTGATTGGTTAGCTGGCCAGCTCTGTTGTGACTGGTCAAGTCTTACATACAGTAGTGATGTCACTATGTTAAGGAAGTAAACAAAGGAGTCCAGGCCGTGGGGGGGGAAACTCTTTCTGGGGGAACTTTGGGATTTTAGCCCTTGCGGACCATTTACATGCACAAAAATACCTACCAATTTTTATATCTAGGACTTGCATCATAATTGGCTGGGATCAAATGTTATCATTTGAACCAGAATAGACTTGATCTAGCAAACGAAGAAAGGTTGGGCCAAAACTGCTCGGCTGCAAAGTGTGAAAGCTGACTTTAGGGAGAAGGAGCTAAAATATGGAACAGAGGAAGATAGGTCTTGATGGAGCAGAGTGTCCAAGTCTTATTTCCAGTCAGACAGCGAAGACGATGAACATACACCCTAGAGACCAAACCTTCAATGTGATCAGACAAGCCGCCCATCCCATCAAATCAAGCAAAGAAACCAAAAACCTCCTCCTCATCTCCTAATTCTGCCGCAATTGCTCGGACCACACCCATCATCAAACTCTGAATTCATTCGGGTGACTGTGTCTTGGTTTGTTTCGACATTATTGCATTGACATCTAATAAACACATGGCAAAGCACTCAGCCTGTCTGGTAGTTCTCGCTGCAGTCGGTGTCTCCAGGATCACATTTGGCCCTAATTACTGACATACTCACACGGCGCTAACAATAACAGTGTCGCTCTCACTTGTATAAGTCCACAGCCCTAGGTTGCCAGTATACTCTTACAAAGTGAAATATCTTCAGGAATCCCCCTCTCCTCCACACCTTTTATAATCAGATTAGACAGGGTCTCTGTCCAGGATATGAACTTCTCTTGACACGACTATTTCCGTGTCTTTTTATGTGAACAACAGAGTGCAACACTGTGGATGTCGTCCAGGACAGTGTCTAAAAAATGGTCGCTGTTATATCCATATTTTAACAAAATCCCACATAAAGCTTTTGCCATATTTCAGTCTGGACTAAGGCAGCTGGCTGACAAACCATAGACTGTAATGAGGGTTCACATTGTCCAACATTCAAATGTTATTCAATTATGTATATATTTTTACTTATTGCAGCATATAATTAAAAAATCCACAATAATCCATACATTTATCATACATACAAATTATCCTTAAAGTCAGAATGTTGTATAGAAAGGGATGATTTTCTCCTCATTTCCTTTTCTCAATAAAACACAGAAGACATATAGCTGCAAAACGACTGAATGCAAACGGAGTTCCCAGACTTCTATAAAGACGTGTAATGATCTCAGCCTCTTGGCAGTATGTGCTGCAGTGAATACTTTTTGGTGGGATATCTGCAGCTTGTGTCAGCCAACGTTTGTATTTCACAAGATCCTATTTCAAAATGTATGTCAGACTCCTCTCTTTACCAGATCTGAATGAGTGCATAGTGACATGTACACACACTTTTTCACCACAGTGCAGTTATGAAACTCAACCTCAACTTTGTCCAAATCCACAAATGAAACCCTGCTGGAGGTATTACGTGTTATATGTTCTGATGAATATAAATCACAGTGCGGACAAAGTGGGGAAAAACCCCATTTATGAATAATGAAGCATGTGAACTTACACGGAGCGATGTCATTATACAGAGGGTCAATGTTGTGCAGCAGCTCCAGTCTGGGTGAGGCAAAGCCTTTGCTGCAAGATAAAAAGTAACCATTAAACATATGGATACACAACTAACACACACAACACCGTGTCTGACTCATGCACTGTAAAATCCTCGGGGATCTGTAAATCTAAACCAGCTGCTCACCATGCAGTCGTATGCTCTGACCGCACTCCACCACAGAGAAAGCACACTACTCTCACTGACCACAGTGTCTGATAACACAACTAAAATAACTCCTGCCTGCCTACTGTTCTGGGCCCTAATTTGCCTTTTTTATTTTCCGCCGGCCAAGCTGCTGTTTTCTGTAACAGGCCAATTAAATACAAAATGAAACTGTAAAAAGCAGTGAAAACAAACAGCAGTTTGTGCCCTGTGTTGTTTTGCACAACACAGGGCAACCGGCAGCAGTAAGCGGTCAGCTGACGTGCTTCAGCCAATCAGGTCAAGTGGAGGCTGTGAGTAGTAGTTTGTGGTCCAGGCTAAGCATTTTCTGCTGCAGCCCTTCATTTCCCCTGCTTTCACTGTGTCCACATTTAGTTTACAAATATAACATGTCAGTCATGTAGTGGTCGGTGACAGCCTGTGTGATGACCTGAGTACCTATTAACATGCAATGTAGTTTGTGGTGTGTCACCAGTTGCATGATAACTCAATCTTTGCAGTGTTCTACAAAGCACAATTCAATATTCTACGGATAAAAGAATACTCAGGTATGTTCCCACATAAAAGGATTTGTAGCTAAAATAATGAGTTTATCCAAAAGCAGGATTTCATAGTTCTTAGAGGCAGAGGAGGGGATGGAGAGAGGATCAGGGGAGAAAAGAAAGGGATGGAAGGACTACAGATTTGTGTGAGAATGACTGATGGAATTTCCTTCTCTTTGAGCTCCCATTGCCGGAGTAACAAAGGGCTTATTGAAGGAGCAAGGGCTCCTACAAGAAAAAGACGCTCGGTCAGGGAGACAGGCGGAGGCAGTTGGAGCTGGAGCACATGGGGGGAAGGATCGGAAAGAGGCACAGAGAGAGGGCAGGCTGTCAGGTTTAAGAGCTGGTATCACTCACATTGTGAACTCTGACCTACCACCCAAGAAACGTCTTCAGCTGAAGAATTCAAATCCCACATGTGTGAAAAATATTTACAGTTCAGCAGCTCACCTGATTGTGTTCCACACGTTGAATCCGTCCAGTGGCTTGGTGCCTTTGGTGCTCCCTCCGGCCAGGCCAACGAGGGTTGGCAGCCAGTCAGAGATGTGGATGAGTTTGTGGCTGACGGTCCCAGGTTGCTTCAGCAGCGGGCTCGCGACAAACCCCACTCCCCGGATCCCTCCTTCCCACAGAGACCACTTCCTTCCTCGCAGCGGCCAGTTGCTGCCACCACTCAGCGTCTGACCTCCGTTATCTGGGGACAAAATGTAATGTCACAAGTAGAAGAAGACAAAGGGATTTCAAATCAGTAGATATAAGAAAAAGGCATAAAGAGGAGATCTGGGGAGGTGACTGTGTACTAAATGCTTAAAAAGACTACAGCCTTGTAAGCTCTGTTTAGAAACCAATACCACTAATGCAGTATTTGACAGAATGCAGATTCCATGTTCTTCCCGTGGAGAAGAGAGAGCAGCCAAACGGATATTCCTATGTAATGTTGGTAATGTTGCTTTTACCCCAGACAGAAAATACCTTTGAAGACGCAACACGCTGCTGGATAAAATGCCAAAAAAATATAGTTTCCACTACCCTTACAACCGAACCATGTACAGTAGTAACACACATTAGTAAAAGGGCCTAAAGCCATGCTGGTAGTTACATTACATATTGTAATATTTTCTGTAATGTTGAACTAAAGGCGAGGCTCTAATCATCTCACCTTAGTTAGCCCATCCAGCATGATAACATTTGTTACTTAGCACTAATACTGCTAAGGCTGGTGGGAATGTTATTACCTGCAGGTATTTAGTCAAATCAAAAAATGTTTGACTATTTACATTTTGACCTGATGATGGCCGATGAAATATAAAATATTATGTGTATGTATAACAGATCATGCTCATTTTCAGGTTTTATATTTGTATTTAGTTTCTCTACTGTGACATGTTTACATGCTTTTTTTTTCTCATACTGCCTGTGCTGCAGCACCTCTTTTCACCCTCGGTCTGAAACCAGAACCCAGTCTGCTCTGATTGGTTAGAGGGCCGGATCTGCTGTGATTAGTCAACAGCTTAGAGATGTCCCGCCCTTTAGTCTATCAAGGTACAGTGTGTTGGACTTCTGTTGCAAGCCAATAGAAGTGCAAGTGTTAAGTATTGATGTCACTATGTTACAGAAGTAAACAAAAGCAGTCCAATTGAGGCGTTTCAGGCAGTGTGGGGGGGGGGATTTTAGCATTTGCAGACCATTTACATGCACAAAAACCTATATAACACACTACAGGAAAGGGAAAACCACAGAAAGCATAATAAACAGTTCATCCTGAGGAGGAAGTTCATGTCTGCATTTAATTCAATAACAATTGATTCAGTAGTTGAAGAGACATTTAAAGTCGCACATGTGAACCCCATGGTGGCTCTAGTGTAAAAGTCTGGCAATAACAAAAGTCAGTAGGATTGATCCTCCTAGGAGCATGAATGTCTTACAGAATTTCATTGTAACACAATTGATAGTGGTTAAGATATTTCAGTCCGAACCAAAGTTGTAGAACGACAGGAATATGCTACCCATAAAGCATTCAAGCAATACAGCAATGCTCATCTACAGTATTTGTCTCCCCTGTTAGACAAACAGTCCAGCATAATGTCCATCCATTTCTCACACACACACACACACACACACACACACACACACACAGCAGTTAGAGTGACTGTCATCATCCCAATGAGCCTGTCCAGTATAAACACACTTGTCCAATCACATCGAGGCAGGGCTCTCTGTGTCATGCGGGTCCAGGAAGTAGTCAGTGCCGATTCCCGAACTGTTCTGGAAAAGTCCGTCTGCTCCTTAATGCCTTTTCAAGCTGCTTTGGCTCTCTACAGGCCGATTCTCTCTTTTTTCTTCGCCAGCTTCCCCTCCAGTTTCACCTAATGCTCTTGAGCTTCATTTGCTTACAGTAAAGGCAGAAACTTTCGTCATGGAGGAATTACAACGCTAGGGTTAATTTCCTTCCTGTTGAGCGTGATTCATCTGGGTCAATTATAACAGCTTACAAAAACAATTGTAGATATGAATAATGGAGCAATTGATAGACCTTACTCTGACTAATTTCGGGAAAGGATGTTTATCTTTTATACACTATATCCTGGTCACTTTTACATAACCATTGCATCACATTGAAGAAAGCAGGAAGTATCTGGCGTTTTTCCTCCGTCAGAGTCTGCCCGGCACATGGCTGGCTGAATCCTTCCACTTATAGGCAACCAAATGTGTAGAACAATGAAACAGGCCACCCACCGCAGGCCATAAGACAAACTTGCACTTTACTTTTGCAGCATTGTTCCAGTCTTCTAATTACCCTTTTTAAAAATAACCCTCAAAGGAGTTACCTACTTCAGATGCAATTCATTACAGGTTCCACATGTGGAAACCTGAGAGCAGGCAGATGTTTAGACGACGCTGCATGCCCCCTTCTTTGCCTTATTCTGTTCTTCATCAAAGGTCTATATGACGGGTCCTTTTTAAGGTTCAACCATACAGAGACTTCCGATGTGTGCTTGAAGATAAACGCAAATGAAAGTGTTCCTTTAGTGTGATTCTGTTTTAAATATTCACATCCAGCTTGTCAGAGATTCTGACGTTAAAGCCTGTGAGAATAAATACAACAAAACATTGCTCTCTAGTGGACATTTAGAGCATTACAAGAGCTATGTTAAGATTAACCTTGCCTGGGAAACAGTGCATTCAATGAACTTGCAAGGATATTTGTTTCATGTGCCTCCCTCTTGACCACGTTGTTTAGTAAAGTGCATTATCTAACCAGCTGATACTTTAACTCAATAAACTCATCTAAACTCCGCTCAACCCTAGAAAACCGGCTTTGATGCACAAAGTAAATGTGATTTTGAGTCTGCTTACCTAAATTGTAATTGCTCTTTATCAAGCACTCACTGATCTGGTTTGGGTTTCCAATCTGGCACGCTAGAAAAGAGTTAGACGGATACAGAGAAGCTCACCAAATATCTATTTATGTGCAAATAAACAGCAAGTTGTTGTCATTGTGGATCTCATTTAAATCTCAGGAGTTCACTCTGATGAAGTAACATGATCTAGAGAGCCTTTCTTAGATCTTAACATTTTTCCATGAGATTCTACAAAATACATTTTGGTCATTATCTAGCGTTTCAGTAAAACATACCTGTTGAGAACACCAGGATGGTGTTGTCCCACAGCCCCCCCTGCTGCAGGGCCAGGGTGATGTTTCCCACGGCCTCGTCCATGGCCGACACCATGCCGGCATACTGCCTGCGATGGGGGTCTTTGATGAAACTGTAGGGGGCCAGGTAGCGCTCGGGCACCTGCAGCGGAGCATGGACTGCTTGAAGCGCAACGTACAGGAAGAGTGGCTGAAAGATGAAGATGACAGCATGTGAGGAAACTTCTCTGTGACTTTCTGACGTAAACAACAGTAGTGAGTGCAACCAAAAAATACTGTATTACCTCAAAGTAGGAACTGATTATAAGGGCAAACATTTTGATATATCGAAAGTTGATGGGAAACAGCTGCTTATTTCGACATCCAGCAGTTATGGATCATTCATTCTTGTTTCTACTAATCAAAGTCCAATTCTATCTCCTTAACATCTGTTTAAGTCTCTACCAACTCCTGAGGGAAATATCTGTTTCTTTAACTGATAAATCCTCCACTACTGTATGTTCACCAGCCAGCCTCTCACTCTTTCTGCCTGCTGTTTTGTGCGTATCAGGTAGGGTACTACTGAGGTTTTTTGTTGTTGAGATCTTTGCTGTGGCTGTGAATGATAAAACAAACAGTGAAAGGGAAAGGGAAAGGGAAGCATTATACTGGCCAAAAGCAAACATATGAGCTGCAAATCACTAATAAAAAATATATAAACAAAAAAAGGAAAACCCCTTCAGTCTAACTGTATACTTTGAGTGTCTAGTGTTTTTTTAGGATAAATAACTCAGTAGAAATAAAGTTAATCAGATCATCCAGATCAGGACTTAATGCTCTACACTGTGACACTTTGTGCAGGTGTGTGACTTGAGTGTGTGTCACCTTGTTAGAGTTGTGTTTTGTGATGATGCTGGTGGCTCTCAGGCTGAGCAGCTCAGTGGAATAGTCTCCTTTGTATCCCGTGGCGACCTCTTCTCCGTCCCGCAGGTCCAATGCACAGCGACTCAGGTTCAGAGCAGCAATCCGAGAACAGCGGACATGAGTGAAGTAATCCTCGCTACCTGTGAGGTAACCTGGAGCACAAAATAATACAATTAGAAATGTGTAATACTGGGAATAAAACTACATGAAATGCTTTGTGATAATTAGATATACCAAAGTATGTGTCAAAGCCCCGGCGTGTGGGCAGGCAGTCCTTCTTGTACATGCCCAGGTGCCACTTGCCCACCATGTGAGTGGCGTAGCCCGCCTCCTTCATCAGCTGAGGCAGCAGTTTCTCGTCCAGAGGCACACAGTAGGGCTGACAGGGCCAGATGATCTGGTGCTGCATGCCGGTGCGGATCTGAGGAGGTTGAAATAAACATATACTGTTAGGAAATACATTTTGTTGAAAATGCATAGACTGTGAAAATGGGACAAAGCAACATCTAAAATAGCGAAAGGGGAACAGACAGCCTCTGAGGCGACAGTGATGCAAACTAAAGTTTCAAAATAACGACGTTGTCCTCTTGTACTTTCCGACAATGTCCAAATTGAACTTTTCCCCATGGAAAGTTCTATTAAAAACAACCAGATTCAGAGACAGCTTCATCCCGCAGGCAATAAGACTGTTAAGCAACTGAACTGCTGAAACAATTTCATAACATTCATCTGCTACTTAGTAATTATTTATCTATTATCTAATATATCATTCCAATAACATGTATATAGACTCGTATTGCACTATTCCACTTTTTCTTTTCTCATTTTTTTTTAAAAAACCTTTATTTTTGTATTATTTTAATATAATATACTTTAATATTGTTTTAATATTGTCTGCTTATCTGTATTATTGTGTTGCATTGTTGGAGAAGCCTGTGACCTAAGATTTTCAACTACATAATTACTCTGTAGCTATGTTAGTTTGACAATAAAGAACCTTGAACCCATTAAACACACTAAAATAAACAAACACAAAGTCATACATTGGACTTTACTTGTCATCATGATGATCCCTTCCCTATATTTGACGGGAGTTATAGTTCCTTTTTAGATTTAGTTTCTTCAAATTGTTACTACTTTTTAAGCTAAATAAACAATTTTTAACATTCTTTGATCAGCTGGAAAATGAATCTTCACAAAGCCTTTTTTATTGATAAAATAAATAGTCTAAATAAACTTGCCTTGCCATAATCTTAAACCAATGAACAGCAGTAAAATGCAACACACACCATAATGCACCGGTAATAAACTCTAAAATGTACGCACTTTTAAATTATGTTATACTGCAAATAAAACACGTTTTTAAAATTGTTTTATCCTTCCTACTGTACTAACTTGTATTTATATTTATATTTCTTGTGAACATTTAGTATTTAATTTATAACTAAGTTGTTAGTATAGTTTATAAAATGGTTCTACATTTGTTCCTTGTTTACAATGTATTTCCTCTTACTGTTTTTATGTATACGCCAAAGCAAATTAATTGTATGGGTGAATCTTTCAAAAAACCTGTTAATATTAATAAAAAACATCTTAAATAATGGTAAAATTGTTTAACTTTTCCTAGTTTTAAATCAACTTGGGGTTTGAATGCATGACTTTTTGCAGTATCCTCAGAGTGTGATACTTTTGCAAAAGGATCTAGATACTTCTCTGACCACTATACCCTGCAGGAATCCATAGAAACCCAGCCATGCAGGGGTCTCAGTGTGTGGGTCTCAGGGAGAGGGTCTCAGGGTGAGGGTCTCACCTGGTACCTCCCGGTCATCAGCAGGTTTCTGGACGGGGTGCACAGAGGCTGGACATAGTAGTTCTCCAGGCGGACTCCTCCCGCGGACAGCTTGTCCAGGTTCGGCGTGCGGATCTCTGAGCTGTGGTAGCCGACATCATACCAACCATAGTCATCTGCCAGGATGAACACGATGTTGGGCTGCTGGGAGGCTAACACCATAGAGGAGCTCACGAGAAACACAGCTAAAAAGAGCGGGTAATCCATCGTTAGTCTCAGGTAAGAACTCAGCAGAGCTCTATTAAGTCCAAATCGTCTGTCACAATGTAAATAAGGAAATCCGGTAGGCTATACAACGGTAGAAAAAATAAAAACATGGCGAGTAAAACGCTTAGAGCTAGGTTGTCATAACTTCTTCTCTTTTTCGTTATAACATCCACACACAAAAAGTCCCTAAAGTTTTGAAGTTACTGCGTCTAGGTGTCACTTCCGTGTCCTTCAGATTGAAAACACTGCCTTGACTGCAGTAGCCAATGAAAGGGCTGGAAAAATCAGACAATCACGTGAATGAAAAAACAGCCAATCACATGAGTGAAAACACAGCCAATCACGTGAGAGGAAAAAACATTCAGTCACATGAATGTGTGGAACCAAAGCAATTAATAAAACCTGCTGTTAAAATAGGTAATTGAATTAAAGCAAAAAAGCTTAGTTGATTATTGAAATATATTAATGATCCTTTATATTCTCTGTGAAATTGATTAGATACTCTTTTCATAGTAACATTTTCTTCTGAGCTCAGTTTAAACATTTATTTTTAAATTATTTTAAACTAGCATTTATGTATTTTACACTATTAATGAATGTGATCCAATATATTGTGATGGATTTTATTCATGATTTTATCATCATGAATACAATTAAAGTGTATTTTATAAGTTACAAGAGTGAAACAACAAAATTAGGCAGACTTCTGAGGAAGAATGAAAAAGGAGTAAACACCCGCAAACACCTAATACAAGGCACAGAGTTCATAGCTTTAATTATGAAGGTAATAATGTAAAACAATTCAATAACAGGCAAAAGAGCAGATTTTACAATATTTTACAAGTTTGAAAGCGTTTGTTTGTTTTGTTGATAGTGTTTAAAGACTTTGTCCCATTTGCCACAGTCCGAACATGTTCTTATTTCTAAAAGCAGCAGCATCGTCTTTTTTTGCATATTTCATAAAAAAATCAAGTATCCTGCATAAAAAAGCTTCAAACGTTTCAAACAATCAAATCCATTCAAGGAATTACAAAAAGTGGATTACTCTTCCAGCACTTTAAGACATTATGGTGCAAGAACATTTAACAAACACTTATTATTTCCATGTAACTAAAACACACATTCATAAGATGCATTATTCACTATCACAATCTGTTCTCCCTTTGTCCAGAAACAAAACAGGAAGAGGAAATTGTGAAGTGATGTGACCTTTTTTCCCCTAAACTGACCACAAACAGTTTAGAACATGGAGCAAAAATGTTTGTTTTCATCAGACTCTTCATGATACATCACAGTAAAACCGTTCTCCTTTGACTGAGGACCCTTTATGCTTTTCCCTTGGCTTTCTTCTGCAGCCGGGTGCGGGTGGGCTCTGTGAGGACTAGGGGCTCCTGGATGACCATGGCGGGGTATTTCTTCCCCAGCAGCTCCACCTCCACCTTCTGCCCCACCGAGCACAGCTCCAGAGGCAGGTAGCCGAACGCAAGGCTCTGCTGGGCGGTGTAGCTGTAGGCTCCGGAGGTCGTGTTCCCTACCACCTGAACAGAAGAGATAAGATACATATTAAAAAAAACAGAACAATTTCGCCCAAATGTATCCATCAACGTCACGTTTACCAAAAAGTTTAACAATTTAAAGTATTTTATTTTCTCAACGGCTATTCCACCAATCCCCCAAAATTGGCACATCAAGTATACTGTATAGTTGATACAATCATATATTTATGTCTTGTATTCAAAATTGAGTTAATCAAACATTTCTTAATCTACATGATCCCCCCTCTGCGCGGTGTACTGATATTGGAAACACACATCCTGACATTTATAGTAAAACTGGATCATTGGACATCTTCCGCTGTTGCTAACCTTTCCGTTGAGCCAGATGGTCTCGTTGCCTTCGGGGTCGACATCATCTGTGTCCAGGGCGAGGTAGGACAGCTTCCTCTTCAGGCCCTTAGCTTTGATCTCCTGAAGGGCGGCTTTGCCAATGAAGTCAGCAGGCTGACACAGAAACAAACACAGAAACAAGTGTGGATGATCCAACTGAAGACGCATTTACAGACATGAAATTATTTAAGAGTGACGTGAAATGCTATCAGAGGAGGAAAGTCTTGAATTCGGAATCAGATTAAAATTGTTGCCAGCTTCATGAATAATGCATCAAATGTTTATTTCAGAACCTATTCCTAGTTTTAGGGATAATAAATGATGGACAATTGGATATGATTGTATGTTAAAAATGGATAAAGGTGAGATGGAGGGTTACCTTGTTCAGTTTGATGAAATATTCCAGTCCAGCCTCCAGAGGGTTGGTGTCACAGTTCATCTGCAGACATCCAAATCAGCCAAAAGTCATAACCTCAGCTATTTAATGGAATAGTTCAACAATTCAAGCTAAAAGTTATATGAAAAAAATAGATAGGGATGGGATGATCTTACATTGTACTTTGAATATCGCTCACTCATTTACAGAATGTGTGTGTGTGTGTGTGTGTGTGTGTGTGTGTGTGTGTGTGTGTGTGTGTGTGTGTGTGTGTGTGTGTGTGTGTGTGTGTGTGTGTGTGTGTGTGTGTGTGTGTACCTCTGCTCCCCAGCCTCTGAAGCCCTTCTCCAGTCTGAGGGAGGACATGGCGTAGGTGCCAAAATTGTCGATGCCTTGGTCCTTTCCTGCTTCCATCATGGCCTGATACACAGCCGCCATGTTCTTCTGATCGATGTACAGCTCCCAACCAAGTTCACCTAAACACACACGCAAATGCAGAATTTCCCCATAGAGTTCGTTGAGACACTTAGCACTTATAAATATGCGATTGATAAATCTGCCAAAATGGCCGGTATTCTTATTTTTAGCATGCCTAATATTTAATAACTGGTCTGTTAACAGAAATGGGCTTCCATAGGAAATAATATGACTTCACTAGTTTATCTTTGTGCCTTATTCTGTCTAGTTTTGAAATAGAAAAAAGAAATAAAAGCCGTAGGTAATTATAGAAGATTTATATAGGATTTATTGGGGTTGAAGTAACTTAACATTTAAATAGCGCTTTTGCAGTGCTCAAAGAAGCTGCACAGAATCTCCAATATAATGAAAACAAACCTAAGATACATTGATATACACTAGAGGGGGTACTTTACCACATTTCAGGTGTAATATCTTTATCTCGGTTTTATTTGTCATAGGTTTTTTTTTAACTTGAATTCAACTAAAACTCTGCTGTTCCTCTGGTAGAATATTGTAGAAACAGGATATTACGTCACAATGTGTGGAGTACCTGTGTAGGAGATCCTGATGGCCCGGACAGAGACGCCGGCCAGCTGGATGACCTTACAGTGGAGAAACTTGAATCCAGCATCACTCAAATCCTCATCCGTCAGCTTCTGCAGGACTTTGCGGGAGTTTGGTCCTGCGATGCCCAGCACGCCGATATCTTCTGTCATGTTGGTAATGTCCACGTCATAACCACCATCTGCAGCCTCTGCCTCTATATACCTGAGTAAGTCCACAGAGAAAACGCTCAGCATGCAGGAGAAAGATTCTTATATTGTCTCATTAATGCTATCCTGCATAATCAATTAGGATTAATCGTTAAAATGCTGGACTAACACTAAACTAATTATCTTTGGGTTTTGTACCAAAAAAAAGACATCATCAAAAATGGACTTTTTTCCCTTTTTTCTGACCAAACGATTCATAGCGTAATATGAAAAATATTCGATAAAGATATAAATGGTTGGTTTCAGTCCTAGCAGATATAAGGAAATGGGCCAACAAAGGTAGGGTAGATATAATAATAATAATAATAATGCATTTTATTTATATAGACTACATTATTAGTAAAATAAATTTAAAATACTGTAAATAAAATAAATGCCATTGATACATTTGTTAGACCTCAGGGACACTGACTGTTAACATAACTTAGTAGCATTATTACTTGACCACATTAAATATTTCACTTTGTGCCACATGATGTGACCTCCATGAACCCTTCATCTGTAGTTTGGTGCTGTCGCCACTAGAGGCCGGTACAGAGCACTAAACTGAGGTAGAGAGAGTGTTAACTTACTGCCTCCTGATTGGAGCAAATGGAGGGGAGTAGTGTTAACAGCTGCTATAAGGTTTTAAGTTTCTGCAGTATTAAACAGACTGGGAGAGAGTTCAGCAAAGCTCTGGCCTAAGGGTGTGTGTGACTGAGAACAAACATCACAATAATGAATGTTTGTACGTGTGTGTCTCAAAAATCTGCACTGGCTTCCTATTACACAAAGGATACACTTCAAAATCGTACTTTCAACATACAAAGCAAATACACGTCAGCGATGCTGCACTGTTACGAGCCAGCCAGAGCTCTCAGATCATCAGTAGCGGGTTTAATCATTGACCCCAGAGTCAGAACTGCATTTGCTGAGGCAGCTTTTAGTTTTTATGCACCACAAGCTGCCTGGAAATCTGAGATCCACCCCAAACCTGGGTTCTTTTAAATCAAGGTTAAAAACCTTTCTTTTTAATGCTGCCTATCCCAAGATGCTATAACCTTGCCTTATCATTGCACTTGTAGCTGCAACCATTATTTTGTCGCTTTTATGGATTGCCTTTTTTTGTTTTTGTTTGTTTTGTTTTGAATTATGTGTTAAATGCCTATGTGAAGCACTTTGAATTGCCTCTGTGTCTTAAAATGTGTTGTACAAATAAACTAACTTTGAACCTTGTGGGAGGTATTATGCATGTTACCCTGGTATATAGTGAGTGGTGTTAAGTAACTAAGTACATTTAGTCAAGCACTGTACTTAAGTACATTTTTAGGTACTTGTACTTAATTTGAGTATTTACATTTTACGTTACTTTGTACTTCTACTCCACTACATTCATTTAATACCTTTGGCTACTTTACAGATTTGGATTAATGATGTGAAATATAATCACCACTTAAATCAGACTTTAGTTACACCTGGAGTAAATTCACAAGCTACCCTTCAGTAAAAACAAATTATGATTCCTCTTGATAAAGTGTAAATAATAAAAACTGGTATCCATAACATTAATATATAGTTGTTACACCCTAAGAGAAAGTAATGTGTGTTTCTATGTTCAGTAGCATTGAGGACATCTCTTGAACAACAAATTGAAATGGGAATATAATAAACAAATATTTTCAAAAGACGATATGTCAGTTGGGAAAACGTTATCAATTATCTTAATCTTGTACTCATTGCTAAAGCAGTTTTATGAGAAAAAATGCTCACTTTAAGTCCTAAATTAGCTTCTGCTAGCCAGATTAACTTGATTAAAATAAAGCATGTGTTGATGGTTTCACCTGAGGTCATGACCCTCTGATCCGGAGCCTGTGATGAGCAGGAACTCTCCGGGTGCCAGCTGGGTGATGGTGACCTCGGCAAAGACTTTCCCATTGGGTGTCAACATGTGGCTGATGTTAGTCAGGCCCACCTGAAGACACACAGGTCAAACAGAGAATTAGTCAGACAGAGTAATGTGCTTCAAACTATTAACACTGATGTTAATGAAAGTATACTCATGCTCTACCTTGGGCATGGTGTTGGCAAACAGGCGGTCCAGCAGCTTCTGTGAGTCCTTCCCCTTCACGATGTACTTGGCAAAAGGCGTCAGGTCGATCACTCCCACCTTCTCCATCACCAGCTTGCACTCCCGGCCGACTGGTCTGAACCAGTTTGTGCGACGGAAACTGGGCCTGAGTACATCACAAATAAAAAGAGATCGCTTTGTATATGATGTTATATAAATTACAACATTTGTTACTGGACCTTTTTTATTGGTTGGCACATAATGCAAAACTGATGTGGAAGTAATGATTCATATTGTTCTAACAGAAGCCCTTTCTCATGTTATATATATTAGAAATATATATATATATATATATATATATATCATCGCATATTAACAAAAGTCAGAGTTAGTGTTCTTCGACGTGAGCTAAATGCTAATGTCAGAATGCTAACATACTAACAATAAGCAGGTATGTTTCCCTTGTCCACCATTTTAGCTTAACGTATGAGCATGCTAACGTTTGATAGTTAGCTTTAAACACAAAGTACTAGTGGGAATGTCATTAGTTCAGCAGGTATATCGGAAAAAAATCAAAAATATTTGACAAATAAACATGTTTACCTGATGATTGGGCTAGATTTAAACTAAAGAAATCCTCCAAAGAGATTATAATTCATCTTAAAGTACGACTAGAATGATCTATTAAGTCTGTACGAAAGTGGTGCACCAACCAACAAACAGTGCCATTGTCTAGAGCCAAACGAATGCTTGGGGGGGGAACATTTGCATTGTACTATCATTACTGCAGATTTTATATTTTAACGAAGACAATCGTCAAAGTCACACTTATGGACCAAGCAGCTACTGAGCGGGCCAACGGGTTTCTAAACCCGCAGTTTTGGCAATACTCCCAACAGTAAATCTCTTAGGGTGCGGTTTTTAAATAATGTCATGCTGTGATTTGAGACTGAGACATATGGTTGAGATGTGTCTCATGCGATTATGTACAGTTATCTGCATGTGTTGAATAATTTCAGCAGCTGTTCTCTTTCCCAGTGAGGTATCTAAAAGTTCTCTGGGGCTGCTGCTCAGAGTTAGACGATGTTGTATGGTGGGCTCGCCTTTGCATTAACTGAGAGTCAGCAGCGAGAGAGCATGCGTCTTTGCTTTGTGCCAAGAACATTGTGTCCTTTAACATTTATTCTGACATGCATATATCTCCAGCAGAATGTATTATAGCGTCTTTCTTTATGCATTGCTGATTGCTCGAGTGCAGGAATGCTCGTTTATTAAAGGGTTGCAACAACTGCGAACAATACTGTAAATTAAAAGCTGTTACAAAACAAAAGCTAAAAAGTGGTTGGGGAACATACTGTTTGCTGTTTACTTCCTAAAATGTCTGACCAGGTCTAAAATAGTGATTGAAGGCTTCTCGCCAATCAAAACAACTAAAACATTATTTCAGATTTCAAAAAAACGCACAAGTAACACTCCATACTAGTTCTGGTACTGGTTGCAGTTAACGATATCATCTCTAGGTTTGTAGAACAAAAGCTGGGGAACTCATATTCAAATGTTAACTCATTAAAATGCCGGTTCAGGTCCAAGATAGGGATGGAATGCATCCCGCCTGTCAAAAATATAAAGACATTTCTGTATATTGATGTAATATTGCTCTTATAACTGGATGCCGTACTTGTATCCGGTGTCGTCTCCAGGTTTGTAGAACCAGTGAGGTTGTTCCCAGCCGGCGTGAAAGCCCATGGATCCTTGGTCCTTCAGCAGCTCGTAGACGCCGCTTTTTCTGTGAGTTGGTCGACCGGCGAACCGCTCCTCCTTCGGGTAACCAACTGGACACAGTAGAGAAGAGACATTTAAAAAGTGAAATGACTGTAAAAATGCAAGGTTTTGTCCAATGAACGTGCGTCTTGAATAATCCTTACCCACATTGTTGAAGCCATAGGATTCTCGAGCTTTGTCGCACAGGAAAGGCACTTCTACCCATTTCCCGTAGCGGTTAGGGTCGCACTCGATCAGGTCGTAGGGAGGCTCTCCATGTACGATCCAGTCACTCAGGAACTTACCAATACCGCCAGCATGGATGACTCCATACCTGAAAATAGCCCAAAGCTTTGAACATTATGAATCTGCCCAATTTAAACTGTCTACTCTATTGGCAGGAGATTTTCAAAGTTCTCAAAGTTGAGCACTCTTTTGTCAAATTAAATCTTGGAAAGGTCCCTTAGCCTCGTTTGGTTGTAGTATGGTTGCAGGCAAACTGACTTGATTACAATGGTCACAAAAAGATATGCTGAAATCAACTTTTTCTTTAAGATTACAATTTGATTAATAAATAAACAATAACAGCATATAACAACTGATAAACTATACAATTAACGCAGAATTAAGAATTAAGAATTTGGAGGTGAGTATTTCTGTGAATATTGCATTAGAAGTTGGTTTATACCTGTCAGTGTTCAGGTCTTCATCATGCCCTTATCCTGAAGGTTTATTCCTGAGGTTTTAATCCCCAAAGATGCTAACCAATCTACCAATCACATACCCGAAGCCGATGGCAGTCCAGTAGTTGCGAACCCCTTGGTGTGGTCCGACCATGGGCAGCAGGTCAGGGGTGTACGTGATTGGTCCAGACACAATGTTTATGATGTCGGCTTTCTTCAGCACAGGGACCATCTCCATGGCCATCTCCACGTGCTCCATTATCCTGTCGAGATCAGACTCAAACAGCTCCTTACCGAAACCTGCAGCAGCCAAACAAAATAGGTTCATTTAAATAAATAAAAGAGGTTTAAGACAAATGTGTCCATGGCAGACAGACCTGGAGGCACTCCATCTCTGACCCAGGAGTCCTGCAGCACCATCTTCTCCATCTTCTCATACGGGCCGAACAGCAGGCCGTCTCTCTCCTGGCGCAGATAGTAAGATGCATCCAGATCCCTGATGACAGCCAGCTCCGTCTTCAGAGCCTTCACCTCCGGGACTGTTGCTGTGACAATGTACTGATGGTGCACTGGGATGGTGGGGTGTTCAAACCCAATCATCTTACCCACCTCCCGGGCCCAGAAACCTTAAAAAAAACAACAGAGGGAAATTAAATTAACCAAGAAGATAAGTGAGTAATGCTGTGTTGGTTGAGTCCAATTTATTTCATGATAAAAGGACAGCCCTATCATACATTAAGCTGCAGCTAGAAGACTACAGCCTTTTCTAAGGATAACGACTTCTGCTTCTTGTCTTCAATCAAAGCTAAACAAAGCTGGCTTTAGTTTCATATCCAACACATATAATGATGGTATTGGTCTTCTCATCCAACTCTTTTAATAAGCGTATTCCCATATTTGTGCAACTTCTTCTAACTGCTTTCACTGTTCCAGTAGTTTGGCAGCTTTGGATGGGCGTCTCCATTGCCTCAGTGGTGTTATTGGACCTTTAAAAAAGGGTTTATGTCTCCCGGTGGATACACAAACTTTGATGAATGAATGTGTTTGTAAGTAAGAACTTACTGTGACGCCCCTATTTCATTAAAAGGGAAAGGTAAATCATTTCAAAAAACATGATTCAGTAACTACATAACAGACAATGATCAGACTTTCCAACCGGTTTCAAATGAAGCGCATAAACGCATTCATAGAAAAGTACAAAAAAACATCACAGGGGACTTCACATACAATGTTGTATGGTTAAATGTACAGTGTTTAATGTACAGTATGTTCCTCCGATGGGCTAAAACCATTACAGAAAATGTAAATGCAGGAAATCCTTTAGTTTTCTAGCTGCAGTGAGCTTCAGCGTTTTATTGTCATTCACATTATGTAACAGCTGCACGATTTCAGCAGTTCATTCAGCAGATACAGAAGGGCACATGTGCTATTTGCTGCTAAATGTTCACCAGCTGGTTCATATATTAACAGCCAAAGCTCAGATATGTTGGGTTACACCATCAGCCTCTGTGAGACCTGCTGTCTTCTGATATAAACACAAATGTATCTTACATGTATTAAGCTGCAGGATGTTGGTTGGGGTAAAAGCCCGCAGGTTATTAACTCTGCAACATGTCCTCTTTAAATTCTACGTGTGCACCATATGTGAACTTTATCTCATGGTGAGCAATGAGGTAGGGGTGCATGAACACACAACCTCCAGATAAGATCCAGGCAGTTCAGGCAGGAGCTGGGCTGCACACAGGACCCTTTCACTGAGTGACCCAGGAATAGAGGTTCATTTGTTAACAAGCTCACAGAAATAAACAAATCTTTGAAACACAAAGTGCTTTGTCAATATCAGCCGGCCATTCTGTTCAATTCGATTTGTTTTAAGGTTAACTGATGGATTGTTTAATGTCTTTTCTCATGCTCAGAATTATGAAAATGAGGATCTCACTTTGATATCAAGTCTCAAATAAAGGATTGAATAAATGAATGATTTTCAAAAAAAAAAATTTCCCTATACTTTTAATAATTAGTTAAATATTTGGTCAGAAGATCCCAGGATATGGAATTGGTTCCAAACCAGAGGGAATTATGCAGTACGTTGACATAGGGTATCAGGAAATATAGGGAGTAAGTTCAAATAAGATGAAAAATATAAATAACAATAAGATTTTTTTTTAAATGTTTGATCATCTGTAACCTGAGCAAAATATAATTAAAACACAAATTATCCTTTATTAGGGGTACAAATTAGATGATACTTAGTTGACTGAGGCTGGGAAAAGGAGTCTTTTTTATTATGGTCCTTGGTCTTGGAATGACCTTCAATCAACCCTCAAACTGAGGGCACTTGTCCCGATAGCATGTTTTAAGTTGAAGTCGTCTGAGGTCCTTACCACCAGCTGCTCTTGCAGTAATAAGTTGTGTACCTTTCTTACTGTTCCTAATGTGCACAATGTAGTGACTGCTTTTTCGTCTTTTGTTTTCTTAGTTATGTTCTCTTTATTTTATATGTTTGTCTTATGTGTAACGTTGCTGCCTTCTTGGCCAGGTCAGCATTGCAAATGAGATTTTATCTCAATGCTTTTATCTGGTTAAATAAAGGTTAAATACAAATAAATAATAATAAAATGATAACTGGAGTAAACTAACAAGCTACTCATCAGTTTAAAAAGTACTTACTCAGCCCCATTTTTAGCAGCTGCAACTCTGCAAATACTACAATATTTCTTTAACAATTATAATATAATACATATATGATTATAAAATGGAGGATTCTGTATAATTAGTAGTTTTACTTATGGTACTTTAAATATATGTTGTATACTTTTTCTTGTGGTAATGCTCCAGTTACTGAAGTACAAGATCTGAGTGTTTGTTTCTACCACTTGCTTAAGTTTATGATTGATAACATTTATCGGTTTGCAGGCTTGAAGAGTGTTGTTTACTCTCCACACAATGGTCAAAACAAGGCTGACGTGCAGAAACTGATCCTATGGGGTCACAATCTAGGGAACCTCTGACCATAATTTTGGTCATCGGTCAACTTTATTGGAAAGAGGAGGAAACAATTCCAGACTACGTCTCAGTTTCAACAGTCACACAATGTGTGAAAATAAAATGTTAGCTGGACAAAATAACTTTGAATGAGGTTCTGGACACAGCTTTTTACGAGCTGCAGTATACAATTGAAGTGAGATAGTAGCAGAGAGAGAGTTTAACCAAATATAGTTGGTGTTATGCAAGCTCAACAAAACCACTGCCACATGCAACATGAGCACAATGCTTTAAAAAAAAGACTGAGGTTTCTGCTGTTGCATCTTGGGAGTCATTATCTCCATGCTATTATGGGAGCTATTTGAGCAGCCTCGAATGTGTTGTTTATCTTTAAATTACAAAAACATGTACACAAGTGACTACATTTACCTTTTCATATTAACATTGAAACGTAGTATATCTGTCCAATAATTGGTAACTGTTGGACGATAATGCATGCGAAAAAACCCAAAGGTGCTAATTCTACCAGTTTACATTTCAGTCCCTGGAAACAAAAAGCAGGAAAATGCTTTAAAAATAAGTTTGTTGGGAGGTGTGCATGTGCTGCTGCTTCAAGATTGGATCAAATGTGAACTTCTGGCCTGTTTGGATTGGCTGTCGGACACAGGGAAGGCAAAAGGCCAGCAGGACCCGCAACTCACAGTAACTCTGGCTCCAACCAGAGTACAGAATGTGCAAACCCAAGGCAGAAAATAAATAACAACAAGATGTGAACGAGATATATAAATGTTCCTCCACAGTTTTGTATGGTGCGATGTAAGATGTAATGCTTGTGGAGTGTATTGGACATTTAAGTGGACAAAGATGTTTGCATTGCAGTGAATGTCTAAACTCTATTTTAAACGTAATCTGATCCATGGATTTACAGTATTTAGTATCGAAGGTTAAACAGCAGTTGCCATCTATTTCTTAGTTGATTTAACTCTGTTTGATACTGCAGAGAAAATTGGACTAAGGACAAATATGCATGACCTATATAAGTTACAAAATCTCCTTGATAGATGACTGAAATAAATTCCTGAACATTGACAGGTAAACAAGGAACAGCAGCAGGGTTTAAAGGAGTTGTTGCCAACAGGATCCCCTCAGAACTGGTATGACCCAGTGCAAGCCAAAAGCCAATTTGTCTGAACTCTGTGATCACTGGTCTGTGTGGACAAAGGTCCCCTGCTGCAGTGTCCACAGATAACATGGTTTATAAAGCAGTGACTGCAGGATATGTCTGCATTGAGACTTAATCAGCAGATGAAGACATAGATACATTTTAGCATGGGCCTTTCCACCATTTCCACTATGTGTTAGCAGGAAATATGACAAAAATAGCACATATTGCATGATGTCTGGATATAAAAATGTACCTTATAGAACATCCAAGGAATATTCTTATGTCCGCCATATATTAGTTTTTCTGTCACATGGTAGATAAGTGTATCCTAAATTAGAAATCCCTTGTAAAACATGACCAAGCCCGAAACAAAGTGTATTATCTACAACATGTATTCTGTTCTTTACCACAATTTTTCGTTGTTTATTGTCCAAAAGAAAATGTCGTCCTTGAACCGAACAATGATGCGTTTCTAAGTTCTGTTATTGTTTAAAATTGAACCAAAGATTGAGTCAGAAACCCTTAATATTTGTCCATTGTTCCGGATAAACACAAGACTTTTACCGTTATCTTTGGCTTGTGAATATGAGTTTTCAAGTACACACCTGTTGCATTGACGATGCGATTGGCCCGGATGGTCCCATGAGGCGTCTGGACGTCCCACTTCCCGTCAGCGGTCGGGTTGAGGGCGGTGACCGGAGCTGGGTTGTAGATTTGGGCCCCGTACAGACGAGCCCCAGCAGCCAGAGCCATGGTCAGAGAGTAGGGGTCAATGTGACCGTCTCCTGGGGTGTACAGACCAGCCAACACCTGAGAATGTAGAGAAACTTGAAGTTTCCGATTTCAGCTGAATAGAATATAATATACAATAATGGAACAATGATCAGACGTGTCTTCATTGTGCTAACATTTTCCAGGCTACAATGTTTATGACTACATATACACAGAAGAAATACTTTTCTGGGGATCATGAATATTTAAAAAAAATATCATGCAGGCCTAATATTTGATGATATGACGGGTTATTTTTTCTCTGAGCAAGGTTGACATTTTGGCACCCTGGAAGGTCCCAAATGAAAAGGGCTCTGGCTCTGAGGGAGCATGCCTGAATATGCTGAGTATTTCATGGAAATTCTTGTTTACCAAAGATCATTTTGACCTTGTGCTGGTACCCCAATAAAGGACATGAGCTTAAAAGAAATCTGAGGGAATAATCTTCAAGGTTCATGAGAAATGATAGCATCTTTCATGGAAATCTGGCCTGTAGTTGTTAAGATATCTTGCTCTGGACCAAATGGATCCACTTTCCCATCCTTTTCTTCCTTCATATTCAATCGACAGATGTAAGGGTGGTATCAATCCGCTCGTCTTAGTTTTGGAAGAAAGGCGACTACTGTACATATTCCATCTATTTCTTTAATTACTCAGGAAAAAAACACGTTTTCAGAAATGTCTACACTGATGGGTATTTGAAAGTGTTATTTTTTTTTAGATAATTGTTTTAGAATCACATTATCTAGAATATAAACTGTAATATATTCGATGGTTAGCACAGACCTTGTCTATATTGAGCAGAGGGAAGAGTTCCAGGACTCTCTCCGGTTCGATCATGTACTGCTTGGTCACGTGCCAGTGTGTGCGCGTCATCTGGTACCTCATCTCATCCACTCGAGCTGCAGATGAAGCGATACGGACGCTGCCGGGGTTATGAAAGCCCACTGCCTGAAGACAACAAGACAACATGAATATCATGGCACTCAGAAACAAGGACCATCAAAGTGAGGAAGGAGGAGCGAGGAACCTCACCTGTCCAGTTTCTTCCTCCAGCTTCTCATATAATTTAATGCTGTCATAGTGGACTTTCTTGAGGTTGATGCCTGGATGGTAATATGTTGCTAAACCAGCCTGAAACACAGAAAAGACCATGATGGATGATAGTGGGGGAAAAGGGCACAGACTCCTATTTAAAGTTGCATTTACAAATGTTTTGGTGGGAAAGAAGTTGTAAACACACCACTGACATCTGAGTTGAAGTCAGAAAACAAATCCAGCAAGACTTGGAGCAACATTATCATTCTTTGAGGTAGTGTTGCATCTACCTGATGAATGTCTGTGCAATATTTACTCTCCTTTTGGCCCATTTTTGGTATTCACCTAATCTCAAAGAAATATGCAGTTCTTTATCTGCTAATTAAGGCTGAAAAGATGTATGGATTATTTGTCAAATACAAGATTAATTGGTAAATATTTGATAATAAAAATAATAAAAATTGTAATATAATATCCTCCTTCATGACAGAAAACTAAATGTATTTTCACTGTGGACATGTTTAAGAACGTCATCTTGGGTTTGCGAAACACTGGTTTGAATTATTTTATAATTGTTGGTTAGTCATGAAATAATTGTCAGGTAATGCACAAAGAAATTATAGATAAAAAAGCTTTGAGAGTGGACTCAAACAGTGCTGCTGTGAGCTGTAAAAGCACAACAAAGAGCTTTGATATGCTTTAAAAGGACTACACCTGCAATGTCATTTGATCATTTCTTTGTATAAAAATATATATATTAGCTTCTTTAATTCTCTGCCCAAGCTGCTGCAAATGTAAGAGGAATTTGAGATTAAAGTGACAAACTGACTTTAACTTTTTAAAGGAGTTGGAAGTACATAAATAATCTTTATTTTGTTCCCATACTTCTTAAAGAGCATAGCAGTGTTTCCTTACACAGTCAAAAAAACATGCATCTAAAATTGTCCATGTGCCTAGAGCAGTCTCTCCCAAAATGCATGCTGGGATCGGCTCCAGCCCCCCCAGATGAGTAACTGAATAAGAGTAAGTCTCCCCCCTTTGACATGTCAAACGTATATAAATAGCATTTCAGTGAAGTGAATGAGGGATGCTGTAAGAGTGGACCTCAGAAGAGAACTTGTAACAGCTGCCTGGATGGAAACCATGCCACTGACACAGAGATATCTGTAAACAGCTTCACTACTGAGTGAGGCTGTCGAGGAAGATCTCTCCTTTCTGTGCTTTAACTTTCCTTTCCATACGACGTTGTCAGTTGGAATTTCTTGCATAGGAAATTTATTTGATAGTAATAAATGGCTGATATTCGACCCATGTTGCTTTTATTCATAAAGAAAATGCCAAGTTATTATATAAAACTTCAAATTTGAGACATTGTGAATCCATTTATTCACAAGCTTTAAAGAGGATTTCGAAAAAGTGAAAATAAAAGCAAAAAGTGAGGGAAGGTTGGTCAATTCAGTTATTTCTTCAAGCATAAAGCACAAATATTCACTACTTCCAGCCTTCAAATTATGAGGATTGCTCCATTACTTGATTAATCATTCTTTCAAAAGAAAATCAATCTGCAAATATTGTAGTCATTGATTAGATGTTTCAGTCATTTGTATCAGTAAGTAAAAATGCCAAACATTCAGTGTCTCATAGCTTTTTAAATGTGGGGATTTACTTAAAATACACTAAATTGAATATATTTTAGTTTTAAGATCTTGAAGAAAAACTAAAAGGATGTCACTTTAGGATTACTTTTATTGAAAAATAAAATTGTTTTTTTTTAAAAAACACAAGTTACAGATCTAGTTTAACCTGCTGGGAATCATTCTTGGTTTTTGGACTGTTGCTCTGACAAAACAAACAAGTTTAACATTGGGCTTTAGAGAAATTTTGCCTAGATTTTCATTTCCTGACATTTTATAAACAAAATACTTATTAAGATGATACTTGTTTTGGTGAACTTTGGTTTTAAATAATTGTTAAAGGCAGACAATAAACTGGTGATAGTTGACACTGATCAACTGGGTATTCTCCATGTGAAGCTCGCTTTGCCATTTGTCATCTTAATCCCACATCACATTCCTTGTATTTAATAAACAAAAGTAGGTTTTGGCAGACGTACAGCGTGCCACGTGGATCCAGCTGTCAGATCAGACTTCTCCAGCAGCACCACGTCTTTCATGCCAGCTTTGGCCAGGTGATAGGCCACGCTGACCCCCACACACCCCCCACCGATGATCACAGTGTCTGCGGTGTCCTTCCATCTCTTCCTTAAAGCCGATGTGTGTGCATCACTGCAGAGAAGAAAATGGACATCAGGTGAATATACACGGCACAGGCATGCACCTCAGCTGTCTGTTTACAATGCTGCCATGCCTGCAACCAGAGCTGACAAGTCCATGTTGACCATGTGTGTGACATGATGACATGCTGCAAAAACACTTGTGCGTAAAGTTGCATGAAACTGCAGCTTTACGCACAGACTGCGCGTAATTTATAGCTGGATATTTACATCAAATTTCCCAAATAAAGAGTGTTGGATATACGCACATTTGATCAAATGTAAACTGACTAACCTCTCTTGTGCTTGTTTTCTTGAGGTGCAGGAAATGGTCCTTAAAGGCAGCAGAGCAATCCCTCGATACGCGGCTAAATCTCTCCGCAAATGACCGTTGATAATGTTTAATATCCGCGACATTTTTTTTTTTTAACTATACATTCAACTTAAAGCATAACCAGCCCCCCTCTAAGTGGACCCCTGCCTTCTGGCGTGTGTGGTTCAGTTACAAATATCCCTCTTTTGCACTGACAGCCGGGATGACCCGCCCACAGGTCAAGGACCGAGTCAAAGGAAAAACTTTACCCAGAACAACCCGGAGCCACGTTAACGCTTTCAGTGCCACAACCCCCCCCCCCAAAAAAAATGTAGCCTTATAATGGCACTTCAATAAAAGTTAGGGGATCCCCAAATAAATGTATTAAGATTAATTCTGATGGGATCATGAAAGTATGCATAGAGTTTCATGGTAATCAATACTCTCTCAGTGTGTGCTGGAGCAGGTAAAGATAGAGTGTAAAAGCAAACAGTGCAACATGTTGCAGTCCCACCAGAGATAGTGGCAGTCTATACACTCCACATGTTGTTGTTGGAACTGTAAGCTGGTTCACCATGTTTGCTTATACTCTTATTTAACACTAAGTTTGCTTTATTGCCTGTATATCCACCCAAAATGATCCAATAACTTATATTAACATCACAGCAGCAATGTCCAATATAATTATGGCTTGATTCAATCAAGTTTTGGAGGAGAAATATAATCTAATGACAAAATATCCAATATTAGTGGGACATAAGGACCAAAATATGTTTATTATATGGGTGTCATTCTTAATTCCTTTCAAACATACTTGCTTTAATACAATAACCTCTATTATGTCATGATTTTTAGATTGATATAAAGAATAACTTCTATTTTTAGAACTAGTTTTTTTTTTTTAAATGTTCTGTGAATTGTTATATGCAGAATCTTTGAAAGCTTAATTGTTTCATGGTCTTTCATAAAAAGCATTTGTTTGTTCATTTCAGTGTTTACTAACCATGCAGTAAAGATAAGTAGTAGCGTCCAGTTCAAACCTGCTGCAGCCGTTCCAGGTGGGTTGGAGGGCTGTTTTGCAATAAAAGGCTCAAGGACCACTCAGAGATAAATGTGTCTGCATCGATCGCTGCATCTAACAGAGGTCAATTATTTTTAATTGTTTACATTGTACGCAAGTTACAAAACCCAATCACAAATGAATGGTGCAAAAAATGCAGTTGAGTGCATTTTTAACAAAAACAACTGAAAACCAGTTCTGCATAACTGAGGACATTCCTGTCCGCTTCAGCTGTTCTTTGCTTAGTGCTGATCAGCATGCTAACAAATTAAACTAAGATGGTACTCATACTGTAGTAGACATCATAACATATATATACATATTATAAACATCTCAGCTGTTATAATTGTCATTTAAACCCACCAACATGTCATATTTTTCATATATACAGTGAAATATCTACTAAATGGATTGGCTTTAAATTGTGCAGACATTCATGTTCCCCAGAGGATGAACTGTGACGCTTTTAAGGCTCTCCTCACTTTTCTATAGTACTATCGTGACATAAACATGTTTTTTTGTATTCAAAGTGCAAAGTGAAATCTGGCAGACGGATCATTTGAATAGCTAGCTTTCTGCATTTATTTGTTTTTCATTATTTATTTTTCTAAGTTTGCATTAGGTTGTTTCTACTGAGCATTTGTCACGTGTCAACAATAATGTATTTCCTCATAAAGTCACACATAAAGTTATGAAAGCACAGGTTCAAGCAGCCCCTCAGCGTTTCTCTGACTTCGTTTTGACTCCCCTCGGTGTAAAGAACCAACTGTGTTTCTCTACTTTTCTATAGTGTTGGCTACTAGGGTTTTTGTTTTGGCAGGGTATGGTGTATGGGTGTATTCTTGTGATAAGCTGTTTCTGTAGAGGTGGATAAGGTTGTATGCAACATTCTCAGATACCTATCACATGCACATTTTGCATCTTGTACAAAACGTATATATTTTATATAATTGTACATCTATAGGAACTTAAAGGTCACCTATTATGCAAAATACACTTTGTCATGTATTTTATACATAAACATGTGTCCCCTCTGTGTAAAGAGATTCTGAAAGTTTCAGGAAAAAAGGTTTGCTCACTTTTTGTCCTGTTCCATTTATATAAAAACCTGTCTGATAAGGAACTGATCAGATTTTGATTTTGATCAGGCCTGTGTAACTATTAGCCAATAAACAACCAAGGTATATACCCCCCCCCCCCACCACCACCACCACCTTATCACCTGAATCTCCTCCTAGAGCACCATTGTGTTCTTTTTAAACAAATATCTCACAGAGGGGCGTGGGGAGTGGCTCCTTATTTTCATCTAAAGTAACAGACAGAATCAGCACTTTGGAAACAGGGCTGATGATCTGTTTGGTATTTAGAGCCAAACACTTCAGAGACATGTTTGTATATATCTGAGACCTATAATATATTGATGAAAAACAGTACGATAGGGGAGCTTTAACTTATTTGTTATTTTCTTACAGTTGCAGAAGGGGATGTTTTACTTCAATATGTTTTCTGTCATTTTATAAAAAGTCAGTTATTTAGGAAATTCCTCTTCATATTAATCGATGATGAAGTTAATTGTTATTTGCAGCCATGAGCAATGTGTGTGATTGACTTTTCACACATTGCTGCATCAACAGGTAAACCAAACCAGAATTGCACTCTTAGGCCCCGTTTACACGGAGACGGAACGGGTCGTATCCGCTACAGTTCTCTATCGTATAGACGGTTCGTCCACACTAGGCTGACACGGAAACGCGGATTCGGAGCCCGATCCGATAGCCCTGTGATAACGGCTCCCAAGGTGGGTAGATCTGCAGACTAAACGCTCTCGGGGGCCAAACGGCTCTGTGCGCCCTCTACAATCATTTCCTGATAACGATGACGCCATAGCCCCGTCTCTCCTGCTCACCCCCGCGTCACCCGCGTCATTGCTGAAGTGTTTCGCTAACAACAACAACAATAATGGCGGATCACAGTGTTGCTTTCGTGCTCCAGACGCTACTGACCATGCTACAGATGTTAGTGCAACATCTACAGCACCTCTAACACAAACATCAGCAACAAGTGGACATGGAGAACTACATGAATTACATGTTGCTACATCCACCGCGGAGAATAAACAGAAGGGCAACCAGGTAACCATGGCAACCATGCTTGGGAGGTCTTATTCGCTGCTTTTGGTGTATTGTGTGGCGGAAGTACAGCGCCACTTACAGGCTATTATGTACTAAAGCGTTTCCAGCGGGTTGAGCGGTCTCGTGTGGACGGACACGTTTTGTTGAGCCGATTCCGTGTGGACGGAATACTTTTTTGATATCGACTAAGGTTCGTTTTAGTTTTAGTCTCTGTTCCGTCTCCGTGTAAACGGGGCCTTAAAGTGTATAGATACAATTTAACAATGTAAATAGATGTTTATTAACAAAAGCATAAACAAGTGCCTTTACCATGTGGAAAATTCAAAAAATAGTTCACCTTTACCCTCACTTAGAGAAGTCCAAGATCTACGATTATGCAAATATATGTGACGATAAAAGCTTCAGAAATGCCTGCTATACTTCACTGTTAATTCCATTAACATATATTTGCACTGTTGGATTCAAGTTTCAACGTCATACTTGTGGTTGGATCCTGATTGGCTCCAAGCTTGTTGTGAAGTTAGAAGATCCTGAAGTTACAGACTGAACTTTGCATACATTTCTTCTACAGACAGAAGCCTTCCCTCTACAGCCAAACAATGTGGGAAACAGCCCTCATCCAAACTCTGAGAAGCTCAAATATGCAGATTAAGTGAGAGGATAGTGTCTACGATAAAGGACAAAATCATACCAAAATAACCAGACTGTTCCTCTTAATGTGGCATTATATAAAGTAGCGTGTGTCAGGGCTTTTGTTCTATCACTTACTCCATGTTGGTGCTTTTGGGATCCTTCCAGGAAAGATTTGTCTTCAGTTTCACAGTTGCCACATTTATTATGGCTTTTCCACATCTGCATCTTTTTAGCTTCTGCATTTTGCTTGTGAGAAAAGGCAGTTAAACCTGATCAGGCTTTGTTCAAAATGAGTGACATGTTTTGCACTGACAATCAATCTGTTTTCAACTACTAAAGCACTACATTTTTACATTGATGCATTCCTAAAAACATATTAAAAAAAGCAAACGTTTTTGCATTTCTTTGGTTGCATAAACAATAGGTTGTCTTGTGCAAAGTTGCCAAAAGAAAAAAGGAAAAAGAGATGTGTTATGCAAGAGGCAGGCGGATCTTATAGTGACATCAGGAGCACCTTCCCCCTCCTGGATTATAAATGCAGCCATGGAGCCTGCAAGAAGCCCTTTCCCAACTCAGAGGAGTCTGAAGCTGAGAAGAGAGGGCCGGTCACTGCTGCAATCACCATGTCACCGGGAGCAAAGAAAGTGAGTCAATATGATGTCTCCTTACTTGTTGTTAACATATAATCAATGTTTTTTAAATGTACTTGTTGCATTTAGTTTTGAAGCCACATATTTTGGTGCGTGTGTAAAAGGAAGTGGTGTTTGTACCAGATAGTGTATCAAACTATTTATTTATTTCCAGAGGTGGGAAAAGTAGTATTGTGTATAAATACAGGAGTCCTGCAATCAAAATGTTACTCAAGTAAAAGTAGAAAAGTATTTGCATGAAAATATACATAAAGTACCAAAAGTAAAAGTAGTCATTGTGCAGATTGGCCCATTTCAGAATAATATATATTATATGTTTTGATTATAAGTATTGATTCATTAAAGTGTTATCAAAGCTGGTAAAGGTGCAGCTAGTTTTAATGACTTTGTATACTGCAGGGTAGATTGTTTTAGTCTTATTTAAGTGTTGATTATATTACACACTATTCATTCAAATCTGCAATGTAACTAAAGGTGTTAAATAATGGAGTGAAATTACACAATTTAACTCTGAATTGTACTATAAGTAGCAAAACATTGAAATACTCAAGTAATGTACAAGTATGTCAAGTACACTACTTGAGTAAATCTACTTAGTTACTTTACACCACTGCTTACTTCTGTTCTATTTTTGACTCAGGGTATTCTGGAGCGTTTGGATGCAGGAGAGATTGTTTTCGGGGACGGGGGCTTTGTCTTCGCTCTTGAGAAGAGAGGCTACGTGAAGGCAGGACCATGGACCCCTGAGGCTGCA